CATCCCCAAAATGGCCGCTATGGCCGGCGTGCTGCGAAGGTCTGAAGCCAGGAGCCAGGTGCTTCTTCCTGGTCTCCCACACGGGTGCAGGGCCCAAGCACTTGTGCCATCCTCCACTGCCTTCCCAGGCCATAGCAGAGAGCTGGACTAGAAGAAAGCAATAGGACAGAGTCTGGTGCCCCAACCAGGACTAGAACCGGGGGTCCTGGCACCGCAGGCAGAGGATTAGCCAAGTGAGCCGCAGCAGTGGCCAAAAGGCATCCGAAGTATTGATTTAACTACTGTGTCATGTGCCCAGTCCTTCAATCATGTTTTTTAAGTAGGTCTAAACATGCATGATATTAATTATTACTCGGAAAGGTGTTTTAGAAGAAAATTAAAGGATAATAATTTCATTGGTGTTTTAAGGGGTCAAATAAAAACACAAATCCTATTTTCCTTTATTTTTAGTAAAATATAAGTACTTTGGTTAAAAAATGTAAGGGTTATGACTAACACAGTGAACTGTATGTGGTTACAATAAAGATTGGGAGGTGCTGGATTTATTGAATTCTGTTTCTTGCCTGTATTGTTGATTGGTACCACTCTAAAAAGTTAATGGTAGAGCTAGAGACGTGCCACGAGATTCCAAATCAGTCTCATCAAGGTGGCATGTATCAATGTCATCTTACTAGTCAAAGTGATCAGTTTCAGTTCATAATTGGTCATAATGATAGGATTAAGTGTCAAAGGGATCACATAAACAAGACTAGTGTTTGCTAATACTAACTGATAGAATTATAAAGGAGAGAATGATCCAACATGGGAAGCAAGACACACAGCAGACTCATAGAATGGCAGATGTCCTAAACAGCACTCTGGCCTCAGAATCAGCCTTTAAGGCATTCGGATCTGGCTAAAAAGCTCATGAGAGTTTCTCAGGCATGGAAAGCTAAGACAATGCGGCAAAAAAAAAAAAAAAAAAAAAAAACACCTAAGTGAAAGATCTCTGTGAATGAGATCCCAGTGGAAAGAATGGGCCATCAAAGAAGGAGGTACCTTTCTCTGAAGGGAGGAGAGAACTTCCACTTTGACTATGGCCTTGTCTAAATAAGATCGGAGTTTGTGAACTCAAGAGGCTTCCATAGCCTTGGCAGCTCATGACAAGAGCCTCGTGTCATTACTGACGTCATAAATAAGAGTGTCAATTGTTAAATCAACAATGGGAGTCACTGTGCATCTACTCCCCTCGTAGGATCTCTGTCCTTAATGTGTTGTACCATGCAAATTAATGGTAAAACTTCTACTAAAACAGTACTCTATACTTTGTGTGTCTGTGTGGGTGCAAAGTGTTGAAATCTTTACTTAGTAAATACTAAGTAGATCTTCTGTATATAAAAATAATTGAAAAAAGGCCAGAACCGCGGCTCACTAGGCTAATTCTCCGCCTTGCGGCGCTGGCACACTGGGTTCTAGTCCCGGTCAGGGTGCCGGATTCTGTCCCGGTTGCCCCTCTTCCAGGCCAGCTCTCTTCTGTGGCCAGGGAGTGCAGTGGAGGATGGCCCAAGTGCTTGGGCCCTGCACCCCATGGGAGACCAGGAGAAGCACCTGGCTCCTGGCTTCGGATCAGCGTGGTGCACCAGCTGCAGTGCACCGGCTGCAGCGGCCATTGGAGGGTGAACCAACGGCAAAGGAAGACCTTTCTCTCTGTCTCTCTCTCTCTCACTGTCCACTCTGCCTGTCAAAAAAAAAAATATAATTGAAAATGAATCATGATGGAGAATGGGATGGGAGAGGGAGTGGGAGATGGAATGGTTGCCAGTGGGCAGGAAGTTATGGGGGGGGAAAAGCCACTATAATCCAAAAGTTGTACTTTTGAAATTTATATTTATTAAATAAAAGTTAAAAAAATTCATACATGAAAAAAAGTTACTGTTCTTTGCTGAAGATGCTATGTAGAGTGGGATTCAAAACTAACACTTTGGCAACTACTCGTTTCCCTGGATGTCTCCCATGTATGTATTGAACAAGGTAGCCTCACCACTGGTCTAATGTGCACAAAGACCAATGTGTGATACCTGTCTTTTGGAAAAAGAAAGGCTTTTGCATGGCTCTCAGCAATGGGCAGGGTACAACCAAAGTCTGATTCTCCAATTGGCGGTCTAGGGCAAGTATTGTGTTAGGTAAGCTTTGTGTAGGAAAAACTGGTATGTGGAACTGCTGGCAAGGCGAATTCTGATTGGGGCATTCAGAATGAGGCCATTTAAGGAAAGTTGTAGTAAGATGAACGTTAGCACTGGATCTTCTCAGGCCATGGACACCTTGCTTCTGAAAGCGTTCCAGCATTCAGGTTCTGGTCATGCTACTTCCTCTTGGTTCCACAGGCTGTTTTTCTCCTCTGCACATGCCCTGGTTGCCTGATGGACAGTTTTGACTCAGTCTTTCCTCTGTGCCTGTATGACTAAGTCCTCAAGCAAGTCTCTAAAGGAAACAGGAACTTTGAAAGATATGCTTAGATCTTTGTGGCTGGAGCCTATTGTAAATGCACAGGGTGGAGAAATTTTAGAGAAGGTAGAGGGAGAAATAGTAGGAGGCCTGAGTTATGGAGGCATTATGGTCCACGTAGGCAGGAGGTACCTCAGCAGCCTTCAGCACTTGCTGCTCTGTTGTGGCACACTCAACAGAGCAGGGCAGGAAAGGTATTCTTCCACCTGATGCACTTGACCATAAACCTTCCTAGGCTGTCTTTTAAAGGCTCTTGTTCTCTCACCTTGTTAAATTATTGACACAAAGTTGTTTCTAGTATTTCTCATTATCCTTTTACTCCTTGTAATGAATGCTGTCTTCCATTTGATTTTTCATGCTGATTATTTTTTCTCTCCCTCTTCATTTATATCTCTCCACTTGTTTTTTAAATCAGACTTGCCAGGAATTATTCAGAATTTTGTGCTCTTGTAATGAGTTAGCTCTTTGTCTATTACAAAATATTCTTTATCTCTTTTAAGTCTTCTCATTTTAGTCTATTTAGTTTGATATCAGTCTAATCCTACCAAGTGTCTTTTGGTTAGTGTTTACTTGGTATGTCTTTTCTTCATTGTTTTACTTTTAAATATTACATATATTTGTATTTACAGTGAATTTCTTATAAACAGCTATATATATTCTTTTTTTATTTTTTGACAGGCAGAGTGGACAATGAGAGAGAGAGACAGAGAGAAAGGTCTTCCTTTTCTGTTGGTTCACCCCCTCAATGGCCACTGTGGCCGGCACGCTGCAGCCCGCGCGCCACGCTGATCCGAAGCCAGGAGCCAGGTGCTTCTCCTGGTCTCCCATGGGGTGCAGGGCCCAAGCACTTGGGCCATCCTCCACTGCACTCCCGGGCCACAGCAGAAAGCTGGACTGAAAGAGGAGAGAGCAGGACAGAATCCGGCACCCTGAGCAGACTGGAACCTGGGGTCCCTGTGCCACAGGCGGAGGATTAGCCTAGTAAGCCGTGGTGCCCATGACATTTTTAAAAGAATATATAGGCCGGCGCCACACCGGCTGCAGCAGCCATTAGGGGTGAACCAACAGAAAAGGAAGACCTTTCTCTCTGTCTCTCTCTTTCACTGTCCACTCTGGTTGTCAAAAAAAAAAAAAAAAAAGTCATTTATGGGCTGGTGTTGTGGAATAGTAGGCTAAGCCACCACCTGTGATGCCAGCATCCTGAATGTGCAGTGGTCTGTGTCCTTGCTGCTCCACTTTTGACCCAGCCCCCTGCTAATGGCTTGGGAAAGCAGCAGAAGATGGCCCAAGCGTTTGGGCCCCTGCCACCCACGTGGGAGACAAAATGAAGTTCCTGGCTCCTGACTTCAACCTGGTTCAGCCTGGGCTGTTGTGGCCATCTGGGGAGTGAACTAATGGATAGAAGAATATCTCTCTCTATCTCTCCCTCTCTCTGTAACTCTGACTTTCAAAATGAATAATTTTTTTTTAAATTATTTATTTATTTAGTTGAGAGGTAGAGTTATAGACAGAAAGAGAGAAAGACAGAAAAGTCTTCCATCTGCTGGTTCACTCCCCAGATGGCCACAATGGCCAGAGCTGAGCCAATCTGTATCCAGGAGCCAGGAGCTTCTTCCAGGTCTCCCATGTGGGTACAGGAGTCCAAGCACTTGGACCATCTTCTACTGCTTTTCCAGGCCACAACAAAGAGCTGGATCAGAAGAGAAACATCCGGGACTTGAACTGTCACCCATATGTAATGATGGCCCTGCAGGCGGAGGCTTAGCTCACTACACCATAGCACCCGCCCCAATAAATAAATCTTTTTTTTTAAAGTCATCTAAACATATTAACAGAAGTGTTTCATCTATTTATGTATAATGTAATTACTTATGCAGCTGTCTTAAGTCTCCCATTTTGCTACTTGTTTTCTAAATTTACCTTCTGTTTCTTTATTATTCTATTCTTGTCTTCCTTTGTAATATGTTGCTGTTGATTTCTCAACAATGTTGCAGTGGATTCGTTTCTGAGAGGAGGAGTGTGGTGGGGGCAAGAGGCACGGAATCACCACACAGACCCAGACCCCGGGAGTTGGGTGAAAGCAGGCCTGAGGCGACCAGCCCCCAGACTCATTTATTTCAGTTGAAACTACATCTTATATAGCCAAGACCAGCCAATCTGGTCAAGGGGCGGTCTATGCCCCAACCAATCACAACCTGTTGCCAGGCAGTTTAAAAAGCCATCCAATCACAGCCTGCTGCCAGGCAGTTTCAAATCCATCCAATCACAGCCTGTTGCCAGGCAGGCTCCGTTGCCAGGTGGGTTTCAAAGCCATTCCTGAGTAACTGACACTCGCTAGCCAGTGGCCACCTTGGCATGGCCTTCTCATTCCACCACAGTAATATAATCAAATGCACTTTCTATTCCATTTTATGTCCTCTGTTAAGATTTTGCTGTACTTTAAAAAATTTAATTAATTAATTACTTTGGAAAGCAGCATGACAGAGAAGGAGAAACAGAGAAGGAAAGAGGTCAGGACCAGGAACTCCATCCGGGTCTTCCACAAGGGTGGTAGGCATGCAAGTACATGTGCCAGGATCTGCTGTTTTTCCAGGTGAATTAGCAGGAAGCTGTAGGAAGTAGAACAGTGGAACCCAAACCAGCACTCCAATATGGAATGCAGGCATCCTAGGCAGTGGCTTAACTCTGCTCCATAATGCCAGCTCCTGTTATACTTTTTAATATCACTGCTTCAGTGATTATCAAAAAATTATAAAACATATGCTAACATTTTAGGATGGATATTTGTTACATGTTGCTGGGGATTCGTTCTGAGAGGAGGAGTGCGGTGGGGGCAAAAGGTGCGGAGTCACGACAGAGACACTGGGAAGTGGGTGAAAGCAGGCTGGAGAGCAGCTCACAGACTCATTTATTTCAGTAAGTACAGCAGCTTATATAGCTGAGACAGCCAATCCGATCAAGGGCCCTAACCAATCACAGCCTGTTGCCAGGCAGGCTCCATTGCCAGGTGGGTTTCAAAGCCATTCCTGAGTAACTGATCCTCGCTTGCCATCGGCAATCTTGGCATGGCCTTCTCATTCCACCACAGTTACAAATTATTTATTTAATTTTATTTGAAAGAAGAGTAGAGGGAAAGAGGAAAGGAATTCTTTCATCCACTGGTTCACTCTCCACATGCCTGCAACAACCAGGATGAGGCCAGACCAAAGCTAGGAGCTGGAACTCAACCTAGACCTCCCACGTGGCTAGAAGGGACAAAGGACTCAAGGTATCATCTGCTGTCTTCCGGGGTGTGCCTTAGCAGAAAGCTGGGTTTGAAGCTGAGTAGCTCAGACTTAAGACAGGCTTTAAATTTTTTTTGATTTATTTATGGTCTATCTTTGCTACTTTTCCAACAATGCAAAACATTTGGAACTGTGTACTTTCTTTGCACTCTACTCCATCCCTGTCATTCCACTATTTTTGTCGTACACTTCTATATGTTATCAGCCCCACAAGACAGGGCCATTGCTATTGCATCAGACAGTAAATATCCCTTTGTACTTATCTGCATACTTACCTTTTCCAAAACATCTTTGCTTCTTGTGTTTTCACCTTTATCATTTTCCTTTAGCCTGAAGAAATGTCCTTGAATATTTCTTACAGTGAAACTCTGTTGGCTATGAATTCTTTTCTGGGTGTGTTTTCTGTTTCTTTAAGTACCTTACTAGTTTTTTCTTCTATTACTTATTTATTCATCAATCCTGAACTGAATATGCCTTGCTCTGTCTAAGCTGCTTTCTAGGACAAGTTTTCGTACATTTAAACTTTTCTACTGGATACTAGTACATCTTTTTAGATTTGTAAGGAAGTTAAAAATTTCCCTGTGAAGGTTTGATTTTGGTCCTTGAAATAAAACTGACAATAGACAGAGGAAAATGAACATATGAATACAAAACATACAGAAACAGGGAAGTTATACCCAAAGTCCAAGACGAAAAGAAAAGGTCAGAAAATGAAGCTTAAATATCTTCTTCATAAGGGAGAGGGAAATGAAGATGTAGGCAATATTGAGGAATATTGAGAATCATTTTTAGAGCAAATGAGTTGGCCCAGAAGAATAGACAATGGTGTTTGACCAAAGTCAGCCCAAATGTGTTGACAGACTTCGATCTTTCTTCCTGTGATATGAGCTTAGTCTTCTCTGATTGGTGAAATTTCAGTAGATGAAGATGAAGGTGAAGGTGAAGGCAACTGTGATCCTCTTTTGGCAGATTTGGCCAAGCAGCTAAGGGAACTTTGCAGAAATTCTCTCCTGTGATGGAAAGGGGAGGAACACGACGAGGTGAGAGGAACCTTGACCCTTCAGTAGGCTCTAAGGCCTCTTGGCCAGTGAGGCTTTGGGATACTTTTTGTATCCATCCTTTGAGTTTCCTTTTTCCCTAAACTTGGTCTTGGCTGTTACTTCTCAGGAAGGCAGAGAAGATAAATGAATGTATGAAAGTACTTGAGAAAACATAAGTGTTAACCATAAGCAAAGAGAAGTTATTAGTTAAGATCTTATTACTGCTAGAGATCTGTTTCTCTAAGACCTTAATACCCTTGTCAGTCTCACCATTTTAGTCCACATTTTTCTTTTGTAAACATTTAACAAAGTTCATGTCATAATTTTTATTCTCTGTGATTCATTTGGTGGGGAGGCAGTTTACAAGTCTGATTGGAGAGTAGCTTCTTGAAGGATTCTGGCTGTAGTTATAAATATCAAATTCAAAACATGATAAGTGGAGCCACATCATATGTGTATCTTGCTCATAAAATTCAACCATATATGTTGCATCAGCTTGAAATGAAGAAGACTTTGAGTAGGGTGGAAGATTTTACTCAACATTTGCCCCAGTGAACACATGAGCAGGGCAGAGTGTGAATGGGGATGTGGGACTCTGCCCCTCTTCAGATGGTTCTGGTTCCACAGGGCCTCTCCTCATGCTCCTCACTTCTCTGACTTCCGTCTGGCCCTTGACAGAGCACAGTGCCAACATAAACACACTTATAGGTAAATAGTCTTTTCTTCATTTTTGAAGATTCTTTTCTTTTCTTTTCTTTTCTTTTCTTTTTTCTTTCTTTTTTTTAAAGATTTATTTATTTATTTGAAAGTCATAGTTACACAGAAAGAGGAGAGGCAGAGAGAGAGAGAGAGAGAGAGAGAGAGAGAGGTCTTCCATCAGTTGGTTTACTCCCCAATTGGCCACGATGGCTGGAGCTGCACTGATCTGAAGCCAGGAGCCAGGAGCATCCTCCGGGTCTCCCATGTGGGTGCAGGGGCCCAAGGACTTGGGCCATCTTCTACTGCTTTCCCAGGCCATAGCAGAGAGCTGGATGGGAAGTGGAGCAGCCGGGTCTCGAACCAGCACCCACATGGGATGCCAGTGCTTCAGGCCAGTGTTAACCCACTGCGCCACAGCGCTGGCCCCTCTTTTCTCTTTCTTTCCTTCCTTCCTTTTTTATTTGAGATGCAGAGGTACAGACAGAGAGGGAGAGACAGAGAAAAAGCTCTTCCATCCACTGGTCAAATGGCTGTAATGGCCAGAGTCGGGCTGATCTGAAGCTAGGAGCCAGGAGCTTTCTCCAGGTCTCTCACGTGGGTACAGGGGCCCAAGTACTGGGGCCATCTTCCACTGCTTTCCTAGACCAAAGCAGAGAGTTGCATCAGAAGAGAAGCTGGATACCAACTGGCACCCACATGGGATGCTGGTGCCACGGGCAGTGGCTTTACACACTGTGCCACAGCTCTGGCCCCAGTAAATATTCCTTTTTTTTTTTCTTTTTTCAAAGATTTATTTATTTATTTGAAAGGCAGAGTTACAGAGAGAGAGAGAGAGAGAGAGAGAGAGAGAGAGAGTGCAAGAAATCTTCCATCCTCTGGTTTACTCCCCAAATGGCTGCAATGGCCAGAGCTGCGCTGATCCAAAGCCAGGAGCTAGGAGCTTCTTCCGGATCTTCCACACACGTGTGCAGGGGCCCAAGGAATTGGGCCATCCTCCACTGCTTTTCCAGGCCATTAGCAGAGAGCTGGATCAGAAGTAGAGCAACCAGGACTCATACCCATGCTCATATGGGATGCTAGGCTCTGCAGGCAGCAGATTTACCCACTAAGCCACAGCTCTGACTCCAGTAAATATTCTTTTAAATTCTAACACAAACTCTCCATTTAACCAGAAGTGTTTGTATACCCTGTCATCTTTCTTTCACAAATAATTTTCTCATAGATATTTATTAATTAGAGGCCATCTGCAACAACGTGAAATGTATTCCCAAGGCTTTGTTAAATGCCTTCAATAGCCATGTCTTTCTTTAAGATTCTTATGTAGTAAGAATGCCTTCTAGCCAGGAAGACAGGTAAAAAATAAAAATGGACAAGATATAGTACACCATGTAAAGTGCTGTAAGAGAGGCATGTACAAGTACTTTATGGAGATGAAGTCTTAAAGCTGAGTGTCCAGGAAATAAGCGGTAGACAAATGGACTGAGGCAAAAACATAACCGAAAGGAATAGCATGCACAAGACTCCAAAGTACATCATTCATGCAGCACATTTATAAAAAGTAGATTTGTTACAGCTTAAAACCTAAGTGTATATAAAGGTTGGAAAGGAAGGTTATATTACAAAGTGAGTTAAAAATGCGAATGTAAGGAATTTGAACTTGATCCTTTGGTTACAAAACGTGTCATCTGATTTGGTTCCCATATATCCCTTGTGAGACACTGACCCAGGTAATTTTGGACATGCGCATGTGCCAGAGGCAGGACTGAAGCTCAGATTCAGTGCTCTTTCCCCTTCATTCCGTTGCCTTTCCCTGGTGGGTGCCAACCACAGGTTCCATGGACAGGTGAAGCAAGGCTTGGTGTGGGCTCACTGCTGCTCTGTTGGTGATCTGCTCTGTCCCATCTATGGAAGAGTCCAAATCCTGGCTGGAGCCTTTTCTTCACAGGGAGTTTCAAGATGGTGGCAAATCTAAAGAGTTGTCAAAAGCAGACAGTTGGAATGCAGAATTACTGGGCTGTGAAATTTCTGTGGAAAATTCAAAACACCCTGCACTTAACACAATGCCAGAGCTGATTAGTGCAGTTTATTATTAAGCCTCCAGGGGCACCTGCAGGCTTTTACCTTCAGTCTAGAACCTCTGGCCCGAGGGAAGGTGTAATGCCATGTTAGTTCCGCACGCTTTCTGTTAGAGCTTACTCAAAGCTGCCGACACCAGATGTGTTGCAAACGAACGTTAATTCTCCTCTGCATCTGGATCGCATGTACAATGAGGGGCAAGATTTATGCCCTGCTGAAGCATTCCCCGGTTTTTAGCACAGAAGTGATTGAACTCCAGATGTTAACAAGATGCAGAGACCTTTTAGTATGATTAAAAACATGATTTCTTGTTTTGCTCATGACAAAAACCATTGGATTAACTTATTAGAAGTGGAGCTGCCGTCCTGCTCATTGGGAGCGGTGTCTGCTTTAACTATGGGAGCTTGTCGTCGGCGTTTTATGAAGAAAGACTGGCTCACCGACTCCTAAAATCAACAACTCTTAGACCGCTCTCCGAATCAGAGGTTACAAAGGTAGAAATTGTCCAAGATTTAGGTGAGAATGAAAGAAAACAGAAAGGTTTCTATGAATGAATCAATTTAGCAACTGCTCCCATCCAGTAATTTTATTGCCTGTCCCAAAACGTGGACTCTTAGAGCCGGAGAGCTAGAATGGTTCTTGAGAAATCACCTGATCTGTCCTTTCCTCCTCCAGTCCTTTCCTTCATCCATCTTCCCTGGAAGAAGGAAATGGTCTCCCTTTAGTCAGCCAACTAAGAACCGGAAAATCCCCGGATGTTTTGTTACAAACCTCAAAACCAGTAAGCAGCGAACTCACTGAATTCACATCTGCTGTGATCAAAGTGCAGTATTTTCTCAATGACAAAATGTATTATGCCCATAAATGGCCTTTTCCGTATTGTAATACACCTGACATTCCTTGTGAGAATATTAGCTTACTTATAAATGTTTGTATTAAAACTTGTTAATAAATCAATAGTGCGTATGATAGCCAACTACAACCTAGAATCAAGGTAATATGTTAACTTTTTATAGCGTTAGACAGAAACTAGCAAGCGATCATCTGGACTTTTTACTGCTGCTATAATCTGGGAATCTGTAAAAAGTGTTATTTTTCTGATGAGAAAAATGCCTTCCTGTGGAGATACTCGTGTAATGGCATTCTCTGTCTTACCTAGTCAAGATGAAGGAAGGGATAAAATGATTTTAATATAAAACTTTAAAGTAAAAAATGTAATCATATTCCATCATCTTCATTGATCACGACTTTAACATTCTATTTCCAGTGTATATTTCAAGACTTTGTGGCCTTTTGGTGAGTGAGCCAGTGGACAGAAGACTTTTCTCTCTGTCTCTCCCTCTCACTGTCTGTAACTCTACCTCTCAAATAAATAAAGAAAATCTTTTAACAAAAAGAATAAAAGTTCCAGAATGTGCCTTTTCTTAAATTTATTTTTGCAGTATTTACTATGGGACTGAATTTTCCTTGTTAAACTTGCAGTAGAACTCAGCACTTTTCATGTACACTTGTAGATTTATCTAAAGAGCTTGCAGGGAATTTGAGGTAGGTGTTTCATTCTCATCTAAAACATGTAGGAAACCACTTAAATACTACTGCTACCCAACTTCTTAAAGATCTCCAATAAGCATTTTAATTTTTCCCTAAGGGATGTTTGATTTGTTTTGATTCCTTCTTCTAGAACATAATAGCCAGTCTTTCATTATTTTTCCTTTCCTCCAGGGTTTTTCATCAGCAGTTTAATGTTCCTCTGTGCCCATTCATTTATACTTGCACTCGACAAACATTTGAGGGCCTACTGTGAGACAGTCACCTAATGTGAGGTAGATGCATCCCAGGTAGTGGAGATTTGATGGTGAACAACCACACACACACACACACACACACACCCCTGCTACTGGGCAGCTTACTTCTCTCAGGGGTTCAGGGTGGTGTCATTGGCAGATGTCTGATGATGATAAGTACCATGAAGAAAAATATGCATCCAAATGAGGAGAAAGAGGAGTGATTGGAGTGTGTGTGGGAGGACAGGGTCATTAATTACATGGGGAGGCTGGGGAAGACAGTTCTTTGATAAGGAGATGTATGTGAGAATGAAAGACCTGATGCAAACAGCACGAGTGAACCATGAGGAGTCCGTGGAAGAATTCATATCTACTGTGAGTCCTACCACCTCTGTTCACAGGTGACCACCTCCAGGATTCCACAAGGAGTCTACCAGTAATAGAACTATCCTCCCAACATCTATCTTGCCCCGATTTCTAAGGGGCTAGTTAATTAAAATATGTACTCCAAATTTTCTTGAAATAAGAATCTTAAATGAGGTTTGCCAATGTGACAGCTTTTAGATAGAATTTTTGTGAGTAAAATTCTAGAAAAATAGGAGTCACATATAATAGCTTTTTCCTTTTATTTTTGAAGATTTTGTATTTTTTTCTTTCTCTCTCTCTCTCTCTTTTTTTTTTTTTTTTTTTTTGACAGGCAGAGTGGACAATGAGAGAGAGAGAGAGAGAGAGAGAGAGAAAGGTCTTCCTTTTCCATTGGTTCACCCCACAATGGCTGCTGCAGCCAGCGCACCGCACTGATCCGAAGCCTGGAGCCAGGAGCCAGGTGCTTCTCCTGGTCTCTCATGCGGGTACAGGGCCCAAGCAGTTGGGCCATCCTCCACTGCACTCCCGGGCCACAGCAGAGAGCTGGACTGGAAGAGGAGAGACCGGGACAGAATCCGGCACCCCAACTGGGACTAGAACCCCGTGTGCTGGCACCGCAGGTGGAGGATTAGCCTATTGAGCCACGGTGCTGGCTAGTATTTTTTTTTTAAACTGGATCTTGGAAAGGTTGTTTCTTTCTTTACCTTTTTTTTTTTTTAAGATTTATTTATTTATTTATTTGAAAGAGTTACAGAGAGGCAGAGTCAGAAAGATAGAGAGAGAGGTCTTCCATCCACTGGTTCACTCCTCAAATGGCTGCAATGGCTGGATCTGGGGCCAATCAGAAGCCAGGAGCCAGAAACTTCCTCCAGGGTCCCATTCAGGTGCAGGGGCCCAAGCACTTGGGCCATCCTCTACTGCTTTCTCAGGCCACAGCTGGGAGCTGGATTTGAAGTGGAGGAGCTGGACTCAAACCTGCTCCCACTGTAGGTGGTGGCTTTACTGTTGAACTACAATGCCGGCCCTGGAAATTTATTTATTTATGTGAAAGGCAGAGAGAGAGAGAGAGAGAGAGAGAGAGAGAGAGAGAATCTTCCATCTACTGGTTCACTCCCCAAATGCTCACAACAGCTAAGGCTAGGTTGACCAAGCTAAGCCAGGAGCCAGGAAATCTAATCTGGTCTCCCATGTGGATGGCAGGAACTCAAATACTGAGCAGAAAGCTGGATTGGAAGAATGGATCAGGTGAGACTCCAACAAGGAACTCTGATATGGGATGTGGGCATCACAAGTCATGGTTAACTGCCTGTATCACAAATCTACTCACCTTTATTCTTTAACTTAGTTCAACATTGCTTTACTAGAAATCTTTCACAAGAAAATGGTACAAATGTGGGCAAAATTATCTTCACAGATATAATCATTGGAATATTATTTATAAAAGTGGAAAACTAAAATATAAACTCTAAACTGTAAGTTTTTATTAAAATAATTAACAGGGACCATTAAGCTATTCAATGTCTGCAAATAGTTATTGATCATATATATATATATATATATAAATTGCTTAAAATGGTAGGAGCATAGAAAAGGGCATCAAATAGTATATAGAAATAATCTCAAATATACATAAGAATTTTGGAAAAATTAAAATCAACTAAGCCAAAATTGAGTGGTAAGTATAGGAATTCTCTTTATAGTTTTACTTTTCTTTTAAAATTACCTTTATTGAAATAGAAGCCACATACAATAAAAGCACATGTGAACAATCAACAAATAATGGCAAATTTATAAACTTATATAACTGTCATCTGGAGTGATATAGACTATGCCCATCCTTCCAAGAAGTTCCCTCATTTTTGTCATTCTCTCTCCCCTTTATACTTCCAGATCTACTTTCTGTCAATATATATTAATTCTGCCTATTCTAGGTTGCATATTGTATAATGTACAACACTATCATTCAGTACAATAGCATGGACTCTAGTTTCTGGTTTCTTCAGTCAGCATAATGTTATTGAAAATTACCGGCCGGCGCCGCGGCTCACTAGGCTAATCCTCTGCCTTGCGGTGCCGGCACATGGGGTTCTAGTCCCGGTCGGGGCGCCGGATTCTGTCCCGGTTGCCCCTCTTCCAGGCCAGCTCTCTGCTGTGCCCCGGGAGTGCAGTGGAGGGTGGCCCAAGTGCTTGAGCCCTGCACCCCATGGGAGACCAGGATAAGTACCTGGCTCCTGCCACCGGATCAGTGCGGTGCGGTGGCCATTGGAGCGGCAAAGGAAGACCTTTCTCTCTGTCTCTCTCACTGTCCACTCTGCCTGTCAAAAAAAAAAAAAAAAAAAAAAAAAAGAAAAGAAAGAAAGAAAATTACCCATGCTTCTGCATGTGGAAATACAGTTTTATACCTTACACAAAAATTCACTCAACATGGATTAAAGATCCAAACCATCAAATTATTAGACAACATCGGAGAAACCCTGCAAAATATAGGCACAGGAAAAGATTTCTTAGACCCCAGACACACAGGTAGTCAAAGCCAGATATAACAATTGGGATTACATCAAATTGAGAAGTTTCTGTACTGCAAACAAACAAACAAACAAAAAAAAAAACAGTCAGGAAAGTGAAGAGGCAACTGACAGAATGGGAAAAATATTTGCAAATTATGGAACTGATAAAGGATTAATATCCAGAATCTACAAAGAGATCAAGAAACTCCACTACAACAAAACAAACAACTCACTT